GGAGAACATAAAAAAAACAAAATGTGACTAGCATGGGACATTGAAAGACGCTTTCCTTTATTTCACTTGCACATATTTCTCTCCTCATCTTTCTATCGCATTTAGCTTTGTACAAGTGCGATGAATGAAGGAGCTTTTCGGATGACAAGAAAGGTTCATCTGTTATGCTTCTTATTTATAACCAGAAGCATAGAGAATTATTTTTTCTGCTTCTTATTTCATCCATTCTTCTTCAAACGCTATTTTCCTCTTGTCCTATTTCATTTTCACTACAATACTTTCTTGTACTTACGGTTTTTTGCTGTTCATTGAATATCCAAGGGATGCAGTTGGAAAACTTTAATAGAAGTTTTATAATTAAAGGAACAAACACAGATGAAGTGTAAATAAATTATGTAATGTAGAGTTTCAAGTTATTTTTTTCACTTGATATCCTTTATTTATTGCTTAATTCTAATGAAAGTGCTTAGGAATGTTAGTTTTGACGGTGAGGAAGCTATAAAAGTTTTCTAGTTAAATGTTTGTGAATATATAATAAATTGTGCAATGATTATGCAATAGCTGAGAATGTTTAACAAGGGAATCTGTTGAATTGATGGAAGGAACTAGTTGCATTTGATGAACCACACACGAATGCTCTACAATTCAGGATTTTGACGATATTCTATTGACAAACTATGACAAAATCCTTGAAATTTCACAAAGAAATAAATGGGAATCGAACCTTTCTTACATCTGAACATTGATGGGTTATCTGGAGATGCCAATAAACTAGTCAGAATGTCAATTGCAACTATCAATCAGCTTCCAACTGTATATAAGACGTTTTCTAGAGAAATTTAAATGAAATTAGTGCTTAGTCACTTTTAAAAGCACTTTTAAACTCAAAATAAAGTAACAAGACTCTCCAATTCCTTCTTAAAGTTCAAAAACACAAAACTCAATTTAAATCCATTAAATTTCTCTCAATCCACTCTATTCTTCGATGTTCACACAGACAGCACAGAAAATCAATTTAGACAATAACCTTGTGTCCATTTTGGTCAATAACGAGAATACAATTCTACCTTAATTCAATTACATTCAAACATTTCACAATCAATAAGCAAGCGAGACTCCCTAACGTGATTTTCATGACATCTCATACCTTGAACTTCTACTTCCTCATCATTTCATACATTTTATTCCTGTATTGCGTCAACAATGCAAAAAGTTTTCAAAGAAAACAGGACAAAAAGAAATGAAATAAAAATCTGAGAGAAAAAAGGAAGAAGAATGAATGAGATGAAATAAATTACGGTTGACAATCATGAAAGTATTGGGTTATATGGATAAAAACCTGATATGCCATTGAGGGTTAGTTCATAAATGACGTAAAATATCTATAGGGAGAGATAAAATCAAAATTGACTCAAAAATTGGATTATTTTCAAAATCAAAGCCGATTTTAAGCTATGGCTATTTATAAGCTATTTTTTTTCATTTTAATTGCACTTTATTGCATTTATTGACGACATACTGTACGGTAATAATTCACATTTTACACTTTTGTATTTGTATACATATGAATTAATATTATGTAGGATCAAACTTCTAATCTTCAAATCTAGGTTTCAAATAAACTAAGGCTCTCATTTCGATCTTCTTGTAGGCGTGACGTGATACTTTTCAGGTCCGTTCTAACAATATTCCACTCGTGGGTAATCTTGTAGTTCTCGTTCCTTTTTCTCCCACTAAACTTCAAGTTCCTGACCCGTTCCTTGATCCAACGTTGCCTAAATGCCCAATTATTGCTTGATCTCGTACATTAAGCAGTCGAAGTATCTAAACTTCCGAAAAAGAACAAATTTGGAAATGGCTGGATTCGAACCGACGACCTTCGAGTTGCCATCCCAAATTTGAGCCAAGCGCCTTACCTATTCAACCAGCAAGGCACTTAACTGCTCGATTTGGCACCACTGGGCTGGTCCACAATGTACAAAATTGTGGTTGCAATCTTAGTAATTTTAAGACAATCCATAAAGTTAAAAAGTTATAGGAAGCGGAGAGAATGAAGTTTCAATAATGTTATGGACGTCATTCTTGAAAGTCTCCTGACGAAATGCAACCGAATACGACAAAAGTACGAAAGACAAAAAAAAAAGCGAGAATATAAATAAAATTGAATGAGTTTGCAGATCCAAGAAGAAAAGGATATTTTTAGCAAGTCTAATTTAATTTGTTCTGCACGGTAATTTTCATTTCTCTTTTTTTCTTAATTTTTGTCATCGTCGTCATCCTTATGCGATGATTAAGATGAAACAATTTGTTAGTCAAACGTCTTTGATTACATAATCCTTTTTCTTGCAGCTATGCTCACATACATTTACATTTTTTGCGCTTTAATTGCTTTATTATGGCATTAAATATCCTTTTATCTCTCCCTCAATCATCATGAATGATGAATGAAATGAATTTGTTGAATTACGTCAATGTTTGAGTGCTTGCTATGCAAAAGTTGTACATTTAAATGGCATTTCTGTAAAAAGGATGCATTTAAATATTATTTATTGAAATGAAGTTTTCAAATCTTTTTCAAATCGCAATTGAAGCTATCGTGAATTATTATCAGAAAAAAAGTCAATGAACTCTTTTTGCACATTAAACACATAAGCAACAGCAAATTTGAATCTTTAAAAGAAATTCTGAGACTTTAACCGTGTGAAATTCACTTTTCATACGCAAATATGTGTATTAAATTTATGGAAAGTAATAAAAGAAAAATATGGAAATGAATGGTATTTGCTTGGTGCAAAAAAAAAATGAAATAAAAAGAAAAAAAGATATAAATTGAAAAAATATTCAAATTATTGTTGAAAGTCTGCAGTATGTAGCAAGTAAGAAATTTAGCGTGAATTTATTGTATTCGTTACATTTTTAAAACTTACTTACTTACGTACTTTTTTGGCTAGGGTGCACGTGGGCTCATTGCCGCGTTCAGAGATCGTCTAAAGACAGCCCTATCCTTTGAGACTTGCTGCCAGTCAGGGTTAAAGACTAAAGTTAAAAAATTCAGGATTTCGAAGATTTAGCAGAATTATTAAACCACATTTTAACCAAAATCACATTGTAAATGCTTTAGACCTAAAAGTTAGCAAACTCATCATAAAAATGGTTGATATAATAATTTACGAGTTTCAAATTGAGTACAAATTTATTACAATGTAATAAAAAAAGTTTAATGAGAAAATGTTTCAAGGGTGGAGAGAATTAAAAAAACGTTTGCATTGCAATAGCATGAGCTGTTTTTAAGTGAAAACCTGTATTTTAATGAGTTTTTAAATTTTAGAAATGCCAGAATTTATAAGTTTAATCTATTTATATTTTAAGTATATTCTGTTCAGTGAAATTCATAACTTTTTGTACTGAATTGATGAAAAATTAAAAAAATTTGTGAATTTAGGGTTACGTCCTTACATCCATATTCAGTCCACCTTTATATTCAGACTCATAATTTTCATTTTCATTTTAAATTGTTGTTTGAATTTTAATATCATTTCCTGATAAAAACTTCATGCTCATAAACACCACCGTCGAGACCATACAAAAGTGAAAATAAAAATTTCCACAAGACTGCCCGAATACGCATTAAATTTCCATTGAAACTTTTCCATTTTTATTTTCATCAATTTTCTTCATTAAAGAATTCATTTATCAATTTGGATACAACAAAGCAGGTGCGTAACCAGGAAGGGAAGGGGGGGGGGGTGATTTGGGGGACAAATCCTCCTTCTTCTTGAGAAATTTCTTTATTTTGCTAGAGTTTTTATGAAAAACTCGAAAAAATCCCCCCCCCCCCTGAACGTTTTCCATACAAAAAAAATTTTGTCCCCCCCCCCCTCTTCAAATTTTTGGCTACGCCCCTGCAACAAAGCAATCATCGTGAGATATAATGTTTATAGGGTGTCCAGAGAAGTTTGTACTAGTGAAGAAGAACCTTTATTTAAGAATTTTAAAGAAAAGTAAATTTAATTTAAAGCTTAATCAGCATTGTCAAATTGATGGATTAAGATTAATCCTCAGCTGAAAATTTTTGAATTTCCAGAAAAAAATTCTAATCTTAACGATTTATTGTCCCAAAAACTAGCTAGTTTCAATTCACAACAAGTAAATCATTAAGCACAGCAGATAAACAAATCATCTCACACAGCCTGCATACTCTCCACGTAGACAAGTAGCTTAGCAGATGGACATCCAAGGACATTGAATGATGCTATAGAGATAGTAAAATTTTATTTCATTGTTGTTTTGCAATTATATACTCCATTTTCATGCTTGTTTCATTTTATTTTTGTTCCATTAAACAGAAAGGAGCTTCACATGTTGACATGAATAAGTATGGGATTGCATCCGAGTGAGTCTTTGAATCTTATTTGAAACATCAATTTAATGTTTGACGTGAATTTTTCAAGAAAAGGTGGATCTGATATTTGAAAGTGTCATGGAAAGTTCAATCTTGGGTATTGAAGCATGTGTAGACAAATTTGCCAGTGCAAAAGGAAGGCTTTTTTGTTTGTGCGACTAAAGAACAGACCAGAAATCTTATTTTGTGAAGACGTGGGTTCGAACTTTTTAACCATCACAGAAAATGCTCTTGAAATGAGAGAAAATGCGCAGTTATTGCCAATTTTAACATCAAAAGAATCAGAATTTCATGATTTTTCTACTCTATTGGATAGTATGAACGTGTATCATTGCAACTCCTTAAGAAATATGCACCCAAGCAACATTGTTGCTATGTAAAAAGTCATTTTGATCCACTTGACGTAACAACTCAAAAATATTGCCAATAAAACTTTGAGACAGTCTGAATCAATCAATCTTTTCCATCTTTACATGCTCGAGAAAATCGAGCTAAGTACCTGAAAAAAAAGGATTCACGACAAGTGCTGTTGAAGCATTCAACTTTATATTTTTTTACAACTCATACATTTTTTTTTGTTTGAAAAAGCTACAAAACGCACGCTTGAGTAATCAATATTATTATTAAGATATCTTCATGTACAGGCAACAGTAACAAAAAAAAAATAATAAAAAAATGTATTTACGACTTGAGAACATATCTGATGTACGGTACTTCAACTTCAACATCATTCTCATCGACACAGTATGCTTCTAATATCAAGGACTTGATATGTGGCTCAATTTTCTCCTCCATTATATGCTCAATGCATTCATCTATCAGTAAATTTTCACGTTCTCTTAGTTTCTTTTCCGACATAAAGAACGTAAACAACATTGTCACATTCTGTGACAGCATTGTAATTTCAAGTTTGTGTTCATTCTTGAAGTAATCTAACAGTTGTCGCAGTGTTAGTGGATTGTTTATTTCAAATCGATCCCAAATTGTGTAAGGTGTATCATAAAATTTACTTATTAATGCTGGTTTCGGTTCTGAGAAGGCATAGGTGTTATCGGCGAGGTTGAAATAACGATTTTGGAATTTCGTAACGTCGTCAAATCTAAAATGAATGGGAAAGAGATAGAAATGATTAGAAAAATGAGATTTTGGGTTAAAAATAAGTGAAATTTTCACTTTAGATGAATAAATTGGTTGGATCTAATGAAAAAAGCATTGATTTACATCTTTGAACTTCGGTGCTTGTCATGTATCATTAACTGAAGAAATTGACATTACGACACACCCAAAAATTTGTTGTATTATTATGGGGTTGTGCATGTATGACGGCAATCAAAAAATGAGGTTTTTAAACTTTTAATCCACCCGACTAACATGCTGCACGTCATTAATAAACGGCATATCCATTTTGTGACTTGCCTAAAAGGGGTCGTTTACTTATGACGTCCGTAATTAACGGTCATTTTCAAAAAAGAAAAATGGATTTCCTGGAATTTCTATAATTTTTTTCTTGCTGACCCCCCCCCCCCCCCCCCCCCCCCCCCCCCCCCCCCCCCCCCCTTTGGACGTCATTATTGAACGGCCCTAAAGTTATGTCAACAGAAAAGTGTTTCATTGAACAAAATTTGAAAAACGCACATCCCTAAACAGCATGGAAGTCACCAACTTAATTATCACCCTCCAAACAATCTTCGTCCATCCAAAAAAAAAAAATCTCAAAAAATAGCACAAAAAAAAACTTTTCTTCATCTTGATCCACTCACCCTTGAGCAATTTTATATATTTCCAAGCATACAAATCCAGCAACAACAGATGTGCACGTGGCAATAGCTGCAATAATTTTTCCAGCAATTAATTTCGTTTTAAACTTATCAGCCGGTAAAATTTTATAATTAGTCGCTCTCAAGTTGCTTGCAGCCGTCACAAAATCCATGTGCAAATTAGCATCATCATCTTTTTCGAATCTTAACGGTTGGAAGTTTAGTGTTGATTTATTTACAGTCATTAATTCACCTGCTAATTGTTTAATGAGATTCTCGTCAGCTTCTTCATCATTATTATTGCTATCCTCAATTTCTGTATCATTCATGGGAATTTTAATGCCAGATTTTGGTTCAAAATCTGGTACAACAACTTTTTGGACAGTCTCAATTGCGTATGCATAATCACGATTCTGTTCAATTCCATACATTTCAGCTCTCAGATTGGCACATGATAAAATAAAGTCCATATGTAAACGCTGACTGACATCAAACATAATTTGAGTTGGCATTTTTTTCATACCTGACCAGAATGGCTGTCCACTAGGCATAATTTGATCCGGTGGAAAATTGTGTAACAATTGTCGAATTTGATTTGTGTACAGTTCCTCAAATTGATTTCTAGCCCAGTGTATACAATCAGGAAAGTTTAATGGACGCTCATCAATCAGTGCCTTTTTGATAGACTGTAAACACTCTAATGTCGATACGGTTGATGTTGATAAAAGATTTTGTAAATAATTCTCATCGTTTAGAAACTTTTCAGCATCAATTGCTTCGCTTGTGAAGAGACCCTCAAATTTATCACGAGCCCATTGTATTGTGTGCTCAATGGCATTTGGAAAATGACGTAGAGTACATACGGGTACATTTTGTTCTGGTGGATCGACAGATGATGAATAAGATTCTGTCAGATGTGGAATAATACATTGAATATTTCCCATAGCACCCAATGTTCCGGAATCAATTAAGGGCTTATGGTAAATGACACACTTTCGATCGATAAATAGACGTGCATCAACGTTGTCTAGTGCAGTTGCTACGCCATCGATTTTGTCGAAGAAAAATTCACTGTAAATCTTTTCAGTCTCAGCACAAACTTTATTTTCATGATGTACAATGTTGAGTTCAGGATTCATTGCCTTGGATGCCTTTGCAGCTATACGTGACTTTGGTTGTCCCACGTCCGATGGACGAAAGAGAAATTGTCGATTTAAATTGGATTTTTCAATAAGATCCATATCTGTTATTACAACACCACCATTTCCACATCCAATGCCCATCATTGAGAAATTCTTAAGCAATTCACATCCAATTGCACCAGCACCGACAATAAAATAACGTAAATCCTCAAGTTTTCTTTGTACGTCATCGCCAAACACGATCGATTGAGAATCATAACGTGAGCCACAGCATTGTGATATATATTTTGGCATTGACTCTTCATCACGTAAACATTCGAGGGCGTCGAAGCAAAAGTATTGTAAAATTGGCATAAATTTACCGCTGCATGCTTTCATTACTTCCTGTGCTGTAATTCCACCGATAATTGCATTCATTGGTGCTAAATTTCCTGTACAAATTTTTGAAAATGACGTCACAAGTTTTGCATCAACATCAATATTCAGTTCACCAGCACGGTCAAGGCAAATGCGCATAAATTCCATCGCATCAGACTCACTCCATGGCTGTGGTTCACGGTCATTTTTTTCAACAAAACGATGATAAGCAGTAAATGCCATTTGTATCTGTCGCGGATTTTCAAATTTATTTAAGTCCATTAACATGAATGTGAACTCGGCCTCATTTTCAGCTATGTGAAGCGGTTTGAAGGACACCGTTTTTGGCATCTTTATTTGTGTAAATGTTCCTCCGTCGATATAATCGTTAAATTCACTCGTGTCGCCAATGCTGAACGAATAATTTCCAATTTTATTTACTTTTATAGCTTTGCATTGATTCAATTCTGTCATTCCTGAAATCTTGATAAGTGGAATTTTGTTATTAGGTTTTTGTCATTTTTACGGGATGTGCTTAAGGATGGGTGCTATAGATGATCTAGATGGTGAAATGTTTGAAATTTTGAGATGCTTTGTTTTGAACGTTAAAGCTTAAATTGCTGAATTTTAATAGGAAATGCATCCTGAGCGACACAATTCAGGCAATGGCAGCTATTTTAAATTCGAAAAGCTTCCAAATGGAATCAAAATTGAGCATTTGTGTCACACACGCTTAAGTATATTCCAAATGTGCAAACTGCTAAGAAATGTGCTTATTTAGTGCCTTTAAATTCATCAAAAAATACCAAGAACTCGCCAAAAGACTTCAAAAGCACATCCATCAAAAAACTTCACATATTCTCCAACCAATAAGCAAACCAAATGTACATCACATACGCAAATCATAATCGCACCATAAAAAGCTTTTAGTACAATACTTACTCCAGAAAACGTGACATAATCACCATCGAAAAGATTATGCCATTTCTCTGTGTTTATAACGCCTTCATTTTCCTTTGATATCCCAATAATGTGTCCAGTTTTTGGTGCGATGCCATCGTCATCGTAAACGATAAAGTTTTCGCCAAAATCGCAAAAAATCTGACCAAATAATCCCTTTGTATCAGCAATGATTAAAGCGACTTTATGCTGACGACAAATTTCAGAAATTCTCTTTTGCTCTTTCGAACTCGTTTCAGTCAGCACAACGACACGAAATTTATTGATGACATTCTCACACAATTCATCCGTAATCACACTCGTAGTGACATAATTGTTTAATTCTGCTAATTTTTCTGCACAACTTTCTGCACGATTACGTCCAAGGCAACACTTGTTGAGATAAAATTGAGTTCCCAAGTCCTTGACGGTGCAGATTTTTGTATCGTGTAATGTCACAGACTTTACACCACCAAGGATGATGCTTTTGGCAATTTCAACACCCAATCCACCAAGTCCTGATATTAAAACGTCTGCACTTTGCATACGTCTCATCGCATCATGACCGAGAACGTAAAGCTGACGCGAATAAAGACTCTCGTCAATTCCATCTTTATTGTTATTATTCACTTCAATTTTCAAGTCGCGCATTGCAGAGATAAAATAAACTGTGCTTTTAATTTAATTTGAGGCTTTTATATCGTCGACTGACAAATGCAGAAACGCATTTACTGCGAAAATTGAATTTTCTAGAATGAGAGACACACATTTTTTATAGCTCAATAGTTTTTTTTTATTACTCAGCATTATCGGCAAATGTAAAGAGAAATTGAATTATTTTTCAATAATATTGTTAAATTTTTTATTAAAATTTTAGAATGTTAAAATTTTTGAACTGTAATTTAAGATATTTTTCACTGAAATAAAATTTTATATAATTTTATTAAGATTTAAAATAACTTGAAAACAATCAGCTTTAAAGAACACAAAATAATTGTTTTATTTTATTTTTTCACTTTTAAAAATTAATTTTAATTATTTAATTTGAAAAAAAATTAAGTTTAACTATTTTTTTGCTTTGTTCTAAAAATGCTTCCTTTTTACTGGAGCTCTAATTTTGTTCTGCCTTAAAGTCATGTCGTTCTTACTCTTTTTTCCTTCTTTTCTTCTTTACACATTTTCTCTCTTTAAACGTGTGACACTCTTTTTAAATCCTCGCGTGAAAAAGACTATGATTTCTATTATTTTAATCACTAAAAGCGTGATCAGCATTGCGATAATTATCTTGTTGCTGTCCATTACCTGGACATGTTTGCTATTATCATCCCCAAAGAAAAATCCCATCTGATTGAATTAATAAAAATTAATAAATATTTTTTTCTAATACAATATTCTTCAAATTCTTACTGTTTCAGAAGTGTATTCTTCAAATGTCTGCTTTATAATAAATCAATAGCATAATTTTTAACACTAGGCGCGAGCGAAGAAGTTAACTTTTCAATCGACTCATCAAAAATTTTTCATTCTCGATTGCTCATTGACGTAAGCCATGAAAGAAAAAAGAGTTCAGCCAACTACAGAACGAAGTGCACATTTGCAGAAATAATTCAAGAGTTCATTAGCTTTTTACTTAATTGATCCATTTCTACATCCATGCGTCAATTTAATGATTATAAACTATCATTATATTTTTTATATATATATATATATATATATTTTTTTGAATTTGAATAAGAAGTATATTTGAAAAAACTTCACAAACTCCAAAGTCATACAAATTTTTTCAACCAACTTAGCTCTCAAATTTTTTCATCAATCATCAGTCTTCAAATTTTTCTTCAATTCGATAAACTACTCAGTTCAATGAACTTAAAACACCCATGTGAATTAATGTCGATTCAAATTTAATTCAATTTTTGATTGTTTCAACAAATTTTACAATTGCCGACGCATAACAAATTATAATAAATTCTCTTGATTCAATCCTTTTACTCTTATGAAATAGGACAACTTTTTAATCCTTATTTTTCTGGTTATAGGATAATCATTCAGAAATCTTTTGCTTTTTACGTCTTGAATCATTAAATTTCACTTCTAGTCAAGTTCAAGTCTTTTCGTCCGAAATGAATCACTTCAAAGACCGACAACTTTTCGAAAATCTCAAGAACGTACTCTTATTAAATTCAATTTTAAAATTCAAATCATTTTAGGATTAAACAATTTATGATTAAATCTATTATTATTTTTCAATCTTTAAGCTTCTTAATTCTAACAAATTAGATAAAGTTTTTCCTTTAAAATTGAACAATTTTTGATTAAATCTGATTTTTAAATTTTTTTAAATTTCTTACTTCTAACTGTTGATCCCATCAGTGGTCTCGAGTCTTCCAGCTTCTTTTAAAATTGTTTGGTTTCAGATCCAGAGATCTAAAAATAGACAAATATTAATAATTTGCTCTTTAAAAGAACTTACCGATGTCTATTTTTGCCACTTCAACAGTAGCACGCCTAACAACTGTGGACTTCTCGTTCAGATATTTGGTCCTAATAGCCTCTGGAACATCATTTGGTTGAATGCTTTGGTTTCGTTTACCCAGCTGTATTTCAACTTGTCTAACTTGTCCTTTTGAGCCTGTCGGCGCCTTTATAACTCTGCCTAATCTCCAGCTGTTGCCAACAGAAGTATCAGCTGTCACAACAAGATCTCCGACCTCAAGATTTTTAGCTAGTTTATTCCATTTTGATCTTTTGTTGATCGTAGGTAGGTAGTATTTTATCCAATGTTCCCATAAAGGACGCATGCTTTCTTTCAGTTGTTCATAAGTCATTTTAGATTGATCCACATTGGAAAATGGTATCGTTTGAGAATTGTTTCGTCTCATGAGAAAGCTGTTAGGTGTCAGCATTTCATGTGTGCCGTTTTCGAGTGGGACTATCGTTAAAGGACGATTGTTTAATATGCACATTATTTCATTCAGTACATTTTTAACTTCGAAATCATCCAAATCACTTAATCGCGTTTTCATTTCTTTCAGAAACATTGTCATTACTCTCTTTGTGAGTCCCACCATTCTCTCAACAGCTCCTTGAAAATGAGGAGCTCTGGCTGGACCAAACTTCCATTCAATTGGAGTAATAATCGACCCCTTCTCAATCAGCTTTTTATTCCAGAATTCGGTTAGTTCGCTGAATTTTTTACTTGCACCAACGAAATTTGTGCCATTATCAGTTATAATGGTTCTAGCTGCACCTACGTGACATACAATATTGTTTATTGCCTTCATGGTAGCGTCCGCTGTCAAGTCAGGTACTAGTTCCAGCCAAACTGCTCTTGTTGTCATACAGCTGTACACCAATACATATCTCTTAGCTTTAGCAAATTCTGAAGTTTTAGTCAAGATAGGCCCGGCCATGTCAATCATTGAGAAAGTAAAAGGGAACTCATATATTCCAATTCTTTCTTCTGGCAAGTCTCCCATCAACGGCAGCTCAGGTTTAAACTTGTAGCGTTTACAAAACATGCAGCTTGTGTTGATAATTTTCTTAACGACGCTGAAGATCTTATGGATAAAGTATCTGGTTTCAATTGCTGCTACCACGTTTTTTATCATGATATGTTTGTTAATTTTGTGGTAGTCCATGATGATGATTTTAGTTATTGGGTGCAATTTAGGTAACCAAGCTACATCTAATCGATTAATGAAAAAATGTCGTTGAGAGATTTCAGGCAATCTGTTTCGAATTCTGATGACTCCGCTGTCGTCACAAAAAACTATCTGCTTTTCCAACTCGGGATGCGTTAATATACTATATTTCCCTAAGCTCTCTTGTTGAGCAGTCTTGATCAGTAATTTATGAGCTTTTGCGTAGCCAAATGTCATGGATTTTAATGTTTCGATTTCAGGCAGTAATTTCTTTTCAATTTCGATCTCGGTTTCTCTTTTACCTTGACGTCTTCTAGTGTTGTGTGGCATGTCTCTAGCCTGTTTTAACTTCTTTTGTAAAGGTTTGATGACTTGCAGCCAATGAACAAATCTGAGAAAGACTTGAAGAAAAACTGTTAGTGTGAAAAGTGTATTATATTTACCAAAATCGATGAATTGTAGCGGATCAGGCGTGGTTTCTTCTTGATGAAACCCTTGAAAATAGACCAAATCTAGATTTGATAATCCAGTTTCCATAACCTCTGGCTTAAACCATTTATTATTGTAACTGATTTCCAATTTCTGTTTTTTGGTGCCCAAGTCAGCGGGCATCTTATCAGTAGAAATCCATCTCCATACCGCTCCTCTTTTTTCGTTGTTTATTTCCTTCAGACGGTTTTGCATGAATATTGTCCTCTTTTTGGATCCATTGGTTATCCATTCAAGGATCGCAGCGTTGTCCGTATAGTAATAAATCTTTGAGAATTGCAGTCTATGATTTTCAACTACCGTAGTGACCATTCTGGTTAAGTTTCTAGCCATATGCAGCTCTAATTCAGGAACTGTTCTGACTGGTGTCCTAGGGACGATAAATGTTTTTGCAAAGATAAAAGCATAACTTACCTGAACACCTTTGTAAAGGAATCTTGCGTATATGACTCCACAAAGAATGTCTTTACCAGCATCTCCAAACGCATGGAGCTGCACTTCGTCATACGGTTCTTTACAATAGCATCTATCAATCTTTACATTGGCGATCAACTCCACGTCTACCGAGCATTTTTCCCAGTCTAATTTTAAACATTCAGGAATCTGCTCATCCCATCCCAGATCTAAGATTCTTTTATACAAAATTTTCATGTCACAAGTTACGAACTGAAAGTATCCCTTTGGATCGAAAATGGACATTAATAATTGTAAAACTTGTCTCTTAGTAGGCAGAGTTTTAAGCAAACGTACTGACTCAATCAATTTATCTTTAGAAACTGCGACCGAAATGGTATCGTTTTCGAAATCGATGTAATATCCCAGCAATTTCTCAACCTTAGATTTGCTAAAGTCACCCTCTTTAATTTCTTGAAGACTTTGAAGCAAGTCCTTAGCATCTTCAATTACTTTTGGACAATTACTGTTTATTTTGCACAACTCAAAACCCACCGTCTTAAAATCTGTCTTTATATCTACAATACATTGAGTAGCTTCTTCTTGACTTTTTAAGGAAGACACCAGGTCATCCACATATGTAGATTCAAGCATTAATTTACTTGCCAGTGGATTTTTGCTAGAATTTTCTTTAGCAGCTAAATTCTTTATATATTGAGCCACAGTTGGGGAACACTTAGCCCCGAAAGGCAAAACGAGCATTTTGTAGTGTCTCACTTGAAGCTCATTTCTAAATCTAAAGACGAAACGTAAGGCTTCAGAGTCATCATCCAAGAGACGAACCTGATGAAACATCTCAGATAAGTCTCCCTTGAACATTACTTCATACTCACTGAGCTGAAAAAGGATTTTAAGGATCTCATTGTAGAAATTAGGACCTTTTAACAAAAAATCGTTAATGGACTTTCCGTTAACTTTTGCTGCCATGTCCCATATCATGCGAGTTCTTTTATTAGGAGGTTTTATGAAAAAAATTGGAATGTAGCAAGATTTCTTGGTGTAAGAAGTTATTTGCTCTCCAATTAATTCTACACAGTACTTTTTATTAATCAAGTTCCTTATCTGGTCTTCGCATTCACCATACGAATCCCCCATAACTTTTTCGATCAACTGTAAACGTCTGTATGCCATATTAGCCGACCTAACAATGTCTAAATCCAAATCCTCTTTCCACAACAGTGGAGCATGATAATATCCAGATTCATCTTTGTATACCTTTTCGTCTAACATTTTTAAAGCTATCTCATCTTCATAAAGATTTCTATCGTTGTTGCAATTGGGTGTATTCAAATCTTCAAGAAATTCTTTTTCGAGTTTTCTAAATTCTTCCAACTCTTCCTGAGATATCATATAATTATAAAACATTAATTTCTCAGTACTTGAGTTTTTATTATTCATAAAATCCTCATAAATTTTCTTGGAATTAATTTTGCAATGTATCAAGTAGTCGCCTAACGGAGTAGAAACAGCAAATGGCTCTTCTTCTTTTTCGCTTCGTATTACTTTTCCAACTTCAAATATCCACTTGTTGTCAATGCCAACGATTCCAACGATTTCATTGTAATCATGAAATTTGAGGCCTTGCAGGTGCTCATAATGTTTGAAGTCATCAGCGATTAATTTCTGATTTCCCATTTTTAAATTTTTGTCTGTGCGGAAATAAAAATCGTGAGCTATTTTAGAATCATTCATATTATGCAATTTTATTAAAACCATACGCGATTCTTCCTCAACCCTTTTGTGTCCGCCTGTCCAATTAATTTCTAAAGGATAATTTGGACCTTTGACACCCAATTCGTTTGCCACAGACTCATCAATCAATGATAATGTACTTCCAGAATCAATTAAAAGCGCCACTGACCTTCCGTTACTCAATTTTACAACTAAACTTCCCAAAATATTATCAGAAGATTTCTTTATAATAAACTCTGAATTTCCCTTAGGCAATTTAGAAATATTTTCTTCATGCTTGTACATAGCATTTAGATTTTCTGAATTCATGTAATAATTATTTTTTATTTGCAACATTTCTTGAATTATTTCATTGTCACTGCCAGATTCGTCAGCCTCATCACGATGGTTTAAATCATGAATAAGCTGATTGAAGCTGAAAGAGTCTGTTTTCTTCTTATCCCCGACTCTCTTTTCACAATACAGAGCGTGATGCTTCTCCTCACATCCTTGTACTGTGCATTTCAACTTGTCTACTGCAGGACAATTTTTATGTTCAGGCATGCCACAAATGATACATCTGTGATTTTCTAAGGCTAACGCCTTGACCACTTTCCCATCTAATTGCCACAAAAGTCTACATTTACTGAATCTATGCTTAGCGTCCTTATGCCGCCAACATTTTAAATCAGCAGTTAAAACCTCTGTATTAGAAAATTTTTGAGAGTAACAACTATTTTCACCAACACCCTCTAATGGACCTTCCGCATGTTGATTAATCCAGAGTTTTTCTTTGTTTTCTTTATTTCTGGATTCACTTGCAGTTGAAGCTTTATGATGTCGATACATGACTTGTTGCCGGTGAGCAGTTTCATAAATTTTTTGTTCATCATTTAAAAGAAATGTCAAGTCTCTATAGTTAGGGGTTCTATGGAGTTTATGATTGATATCGTTCACTTTCTTTATCCATTTGGTATTGAGATTTCTCGGAAACTTTTCAATAATCTCTATCAGGAAAGGATAATTGTAAGAATACATTTTATCCTTTGCGGCTTCAAGTAAACGACCCAAATCTTTAATTTGATCAATAAAATTTACTAAACCTTCATAATCTTCATCTCTCAAATTTTTGGCATCTTTTATTTTCTGTGCCTTGTCAAGCAATGCAGTCTCTTGACTTCCTAATCTATCATTTATCTCTTTTAACGCCCCTTCGAATGTTGCAATGTGATTCAATGATTCTTGTGCCATCAGTAAAACTTTTGGATGACGCAAGGCTTCTTTGACTCTATTCAAATTCTCAGTGGCAGAAAAGAAATCTTTCGATTCAAGATAAGCCATATAAAATGATTCCCATGCAAACAAGCTTGTGTCAACAACTGGAAGTTTTTTATATCCTTTTTGTTGCATCTGCAGTATCAAACATGGGTCACTTTGCCCCATATTTCCTGGATTATTCAACACAGAAGTTTCTAAGGCTTTGGCCATCAAGGACTTTCGAAGATTAGGTGTTTTCAAGTTCATTGCCTTGTTTTGATTAGGATCTTTGGAATTAGGTGGATTATTTGAATTGGCTTGATCAGGAGCAATCAAATTTTTTGGTTTATTTAATTTAGCTCGCTTCGTAATTTTTGGAGTAGATACTAAGCACTGATTATACTCACTGCTCAACTCTGAATCAATTTCTGTATTAGAATCAAATTGTATATGTTTATCATCCGAACTGAAATTTGGTTGATCAGGCTTTTTAATCTTTTTAGTTTTATTTTTCTTCTTCTTCTTAACTTGATCAGTATCAGTTTCATTACGAGAGCTATTGCTCATCAAAGCCTGATTTAATTTTTTCGATTTTTCAATGTCATATTTAGCTGAATTACAAGAGACACACAAAACTACACCATTCAGAATATTGAACTCACCAAATTTCGCTAGACACACATCATGAAAAATTTTATTGCATGAAATGCAAGTTACCAAGATCGTAGAAGAAGTTGCTTCCTCATCCTTACAAATAGCGCATAAAAACTTCTTGCTTCTTCTGGTTACATTATCATCCTTTAACTCCGGATTTACTGTTTTTTCCTGAAGATTAGAATTCTCTTCACTATTTTTAGGAGGTTCCACTGACGTTAAGTCTACTTCTTGAACGGAATGTTCCGCCTTTTCCTGTTGATCTTGTTCAAATCTCGCTCTGTGCTCATCGCAAACGAATTTGTTATCGCCGTCTATTCTCACTGGATGATCGTTGCAATTGTCATGAATGACCTTCAGACAAGTCACAAATTCACATTCCACTAGTGTATTGTTTTTTGTTGCTGAACCACCGCACTTGCAACACTGTGTTTCTAAAATTTTCGACATATTGTTTGATTTTTTATTTTTTCGATTTTTTCTAGTGCTGTTTAAATTAAGCATCACATACACATCACAAAATTCAAAATTGTCTCAGTTTATCACGTTATGCATGCACATAAGAAATTTTTTAGAGTCTTATTTCAATTTCATGAAAGTTTCAAGTGACAAGCCAAGCCACTGCCGCGTGTGTATGATCAACCACGTTGATGTGCATAGAAAATTAAATGATCACTTTTTATCCAAATTATGAATAATTAACTTAACACAAATTCGAACACTTATTTATTTTACTTGTTCCGATTTAATCGCGTAAAGTCTTATCACTTATGGATTTTCAATGAAACATTTTTAGAATGTTAAATTTTTTATTAAAATTTTAGAATGTTAAAATTTTTGAACTGTAATTTAAGATATTTTTCACTGAAATAAAATTTTATATAATTTTATTAAGATTTAAAATAACTTGAAAACAATCAGCTTTAAAGAACACAAAATAATTGTTTTATTTTATTTTTTCACTTTTAAAAATTAATTTTAATTATTTAATTTGAAAAAAATTAAGTTTAACTATTTTTTTGCTTTGTTCTAAAAATGCTTCCTTTTTACTGGAGCTCTAATTTTGTTCTGCCTTAAAGTCATGTCGTTCTTACTCTTTTTTCCTTCTTTTCTTCTTTACACATTTTCTCTCTTTAAACGTGTGACACTCTTTTTAAATCCTCGCGTGAAAAAGACTATGATTTCTATTATTTTAATCACTAAAAGCGTGATCAGCATTGCGATAATTATCTTGTTGCTGTCCATTACCTGGACATGTTTGCTATTATCATCCCCAAAGAAAAATCCCATCTGATTGAATTAATAAAAATTAATAAATATTTTTTTCTAATACAATATTCTTCAAATTCTTACTGTTTCAGAAGTGTATTCTTCAAATGTCTGCTTTATAATAAATCAATAGCATAATTTTTAACAATATGTTTCTCTGATCTCATTCTTGTTTTTGTTTGTGCGCTATCTGATTGTTTACTAGACATTCGCAGGCGGTCGAAATTGATGATAGAAAAATAGTTTTAGAACGTATTGGATTTTTAAATGCAAAGCTGAAGCGCATAAAATGAGGATTTATTATTGCAGTTTCAATTATCGAATATCGATCATTTTGGAATTTGGATTTTGGATTTTGGAAATATCTCTGATTTAGGTTTGAGTATCCTCGAATAGCACACGTCCAGCGTAGTCAGGAGGGTCTTGTTCCCCTATTAAGCGTTTTAGGCCATGCTCTTGCTGCGGTTCAAAACGTTTAAGGAAGGACAATACCCTCATGGCCACGCGCCTGCACACGTGTGTTAATCGATCAGTAATCTGGCACCAATCGACTTAGTGCCGGATTTTTATTCGATTAATCGACATGTGCTATTCGGGATCTTATTGGTTAAATTTGAACAGGTTCCTTTGCTTTTACCTAAGATAATGGTTGGTCCATGGTCTGACTAATTACTTCGGATCTTTAGGCTTTCAAACAAAGTGGTAAATCTTAAAGCTGTTGAAAGTTTAGCAGATGCGACTGGACCGGACTTAACTAAGACTCTTCATTCCTGAGCACAAAAATAACCAAATATTGTTGAAGATTATAGTAAGGATGATAACAGTCAGGGTGGTTAAAAATAGAATCTGGCCTTTTTTAAAATTATGTTCACGTGTACAATGTGTGGCAGAATTCATATGTTGGCAGATAACATATGTCACACATTGCATATGTGCACATATTTTATGTGTGATGTGTGCACATATTTGATGTGTGACACAATATTTTGTGTCACATATGAAAATGTGTGATGTGTGACACATTTTTATGTGTGTGGATATCATGTCTAAACATGCAAAATCTGCACATATTTATTAATTTGCGGGACTAAAGTGGTATTTTTTGTAGAATTTATTTAAAAAATTATTGATATATAACCAAAACAGTCAAATACTCCATAAAAGAGTTAATTTTCTCCAAAATATGTTCATCAAACTGTAATTTTAAACTAGTTTGACTTTATTTTCGGAAAACTTGACTTAAAATTGATTTACAAGTGATTAAGGGACACGAGTTTTACTATTAAAGTATTGATCATAACTGAAGCTCATCATTCTTAGTTTAATCTTCATTTCTCCAACAAATAAAATCAAATTAGTTTAAAATTATGAGTTTGATGAACATATTTTGGAGAAAATTAACTCTTTTATGGAGTATTTGACTGTTTTGGTTATATATCAATAATTTCTTAAATAAATTCTGCAAAAAAATACCACTTTAGTCCCGAAAATTAATAAATATGTGCAGATTTTGCATGTTTACACATGATATCCACACACATAAAAATGTGTCACACATCACACATTTTCATATGTGACACAAAATAATGTGTCACACATCAAATATGTGCACACATCACACATAAAATATGTGCACATATGCAATGTGTGACATATATTATCTGCCAACAAATGAATTCTGCCACACATTGTACACGTGAACATGCAAAATGTGTTGGATATGTGTACATATTCTGTAAAATAGAATATGTTTTAACAACCCTGATAACAGTAATGATGGCAGTAATATGATATTCTTAAAAAATGTTATCATGAACGAGCGGTTCCCTTAAAATTATGTTTATCAACACGAATTAATTTTTTTCCTCATTAAAATTGTCATCCACTCATAAATTTAATTGTTACTAATGGCTACACATCTCCTATTTTTTCATCACATAATAATGATCCAGAAGAGTAAAAATTTCATTAATTTAAAGCTTTTCTTTTCAAATAAACAGGCCAAAATTAATTCACCTCCTAAATACTGAATATTAAACAAATCTCTTTAAGCAAATACTTGCTGTTTCCCACAGTAACGAGCATATTATATTTCCCAAAAAGACACGGAAAATATTTTGTTTTGAGTAAATACTTCCTTTGTAGTTGCTAGCAGCACTTGAATTACAGCCACCTACACAAAAACGCAAAATGAACGCTTGAGCTTACAGCTTTATTAAAATTACGCTAAAAATTTTACAACGCAAACGCTTGGCAGTTGCGAGCAAACAGAGCAATAAAAAAAAGCTCTATGCATGATGATGTGTATTTTTAGAATCCTCATGCTATAAATATATAATATAGAACGTACAGCACAGCGCACACAATAATAACCGCATACAATATCAACAACATGCATACGTTAAATTTATTTTTATTTCTCAGAGCATTTTTTTTGCAGTGTATTGTTTCGGAAGTAACTAATGCGTGAATTTTGTCGGATGACCTATATTAAAAAGTCGTTTATTTTATCGGTTGAGATGCTTTGGGGTGAAGCTAGAGGATGCTAATATGCGTTGTTATGCAGGTGTGATTTTTGGATGGAAAATTGTTTGAAAATTTTTTTTTTTATTTGAACTGATGGTTCAAATGGATTGGCTGTAGAAAGCTAGTTGTTTTACATGTTTGGGAATTTGATGTTGATCCACCATTTTCAAGTCCATAAAAAGCTCGAATTTATTTATGGTTTTTAATACCATAATCAAATAGATAATCAATAATCAAATTGACAAATTTTAAGAATTTGTCCAAAAGCTCTTGAAATTTTAAGACAAGATTCTATAAAAAAAAGTTTGAAATTTCTCAAAAACCGCAAAATTTCTCAAAAACCTCAAAATTTATCAAAAAGAACACATTTTTTGAAAAAGCTAACAATTTTTCAAAAAAGCACAATTTTTTCAAAAAGCACACATTTTTTCCAAAAAGCTCACAAAAAGTACAGACTTTTCCAAAAAGCTTAAATTATTTTACAAACATTTAAAAAAATCTGAAAAGCTTAAAGTATGTCAATTGCTAACATTTTTTTAAAATGTTCAATTAAGTTAAAAAGTTCGTTTTTAAAACTAAACCTTCAAAAATCTCAAATCTCTAAAAAGCTTTCCCAACTCACTCAATTTCCAACACAACTCATTCAACTTGTTCACATTATTTTGTGCCTTTTGTGTGCTCAACTAGCTTTGTAGATTGCAATTGAATCAGTGATGTTTTTATCGCGACCTATTATTGTGGATGCTTTTGCTAGCGGCGCAACGTCTACTTCAGATTATTCTTTAGCATTGCACTATTGTCTACGACGAGCAAAACTGCGAGTGCTTTTTGTTCTGCATGAAATATTTAATATTATGATATAAAAACTTTTTTTCTAGCTTTGAACTATTTTATTGTTCGTTATTAAATGCATATAAAAAGGCACTAGCTTTTTGTGAGAACACAAAAAATACGAATTTTAATAAAATTAAAATTTTATAGAAATTTTTCATTCGAGAGCTTTTAGATCCGATAGTGAAACTGACTAGTTTTCGAGTAAATATTTATTGAATTTTATTTTTCATTTTTTTTTTTCAGAACAATTGTATTGAATATGTGAATATTAATTAAGGTATATAGAATAATTTAGCATCAAGAGATAGGAATCATTTTTACTGCAATTTTTTAGCTCTATGCAAATTTGACCTAGATTGTGTAGAAAATTGAGATACAAAGGGGAATTTTTTGTTGCCTGGATCTTACTGGATGAATTGCAGAAATGAAGAATCAGTTTTCTATTGAAATTTTATTGGGGATTTATTTCTCGAAGCTGCTTGAAGCTTGTTCTATTTACTGGCTACCATCAATTACTTATTTACATACTTACTTGGCTTTGGCGCACGTGGGCCTTTTGCTACGCTTAGAGATCGTCTAAAGACTGCTCTATGCTTCGAAACCTTCTCCCAATTTGAGATTTTAAGGACTCTAGCGTCTTTTTCAACACATCCAATCAAGCACGTCCTTGTGTATCAGCGTGCGTGTTTAAAAAGTTCCCAAGCAGGTCCTTAACTCCTGAACATTTTTTAAAAGCACAACCGGAACGACACTTTAATTATGCAAGACAAACGACACAAATGTCTCTAATTAACTGCTTAATTACTTCTCAAAACAGGAAAAAATTCAAGTCAAAAACTTTTTTCTTTGCAAAAAATAAAAGAAAAGAAACCAAAGGTGATTACAACTTTCATTTCACCATCCTTACATGCTTCACTTGGAAGCATAAAAGTTTCATAAAGATTTATGTTGTTCCTCATATTCTCATTTAAAAGCTCGTCTCTGAAGAACCTTTTTGCACTCTTTGTGTAATTCAGTATATGATATAAACAGTTCCAAACGATGGAAGCAATTTTTTGTTCAGTTCCTTTTTGGTTTGCTTTCTTTCATTTTCATTCAACAACAAAAAGCCATCATCATCCCTCATAACTTTCATAATATTCATGCTGACTTTACATTTGACATTTTTTTTTCTGTATGAAAAAAAAAGTTATCTCGTACCCGCGTGTGAAATGAAATTATTGTCTTTTTATGTCTTCTGACAATAAAGTTATACAGAGAGATTTACAAATGAGGAAGTAAGTGCAAAATTTAAATCCAAAGAATACAAGAAAATTTTGTGACATTTTTAATTACAGTTTTATACTTTTACATTTGCTAAGCACTTAAATTACTAAAAGCTTCCTCTTTTGTCTCAGTTAAACAGCAAAGGATGAAATATGTTTTATGGAAATTTTTACATTTTTTAATGTTTTTAAGTAAGTTTAAGCCCTTGTGTACTGTTAGATTTTGGCTGGCTGAGTGTAATGTCGTGAGCATTCTGCGAATGCTCGTCATATTGACAACATTCTCTGGAATGAAATGAGAGATTAGTCTTGAGAGATCTTGGTGGGAATCGAACCCATACATACATACAAACATCGCTGGCTTTACAGATCAATTGTGATCTGAATCGCCAATACCAAATCCAATGCTAAGTCAGCAGTTTCCTTTCAGGAATTCTTCCAGGAATCGAACCCATATTCACATAAAACAAAGCTTTAAATATCCAAACTGTTGCTTAATCACTCGGCC